GGGGAGGAAACCAAGGCTTTGTTTTGCAAGTGAGATGCATGATTTATCCCATATTCCTGCTCTCTAGAATGATGAAATGAGGTGCTCAAGGGATGGGGCAAGGAGGGAATTACAGCAAGGAACAACTGAGCAAATACGTGTTGCTCTTCTGTCAGTGTGCCAAGTGCCGTATTTATTTTCGTGGACTGCTCAGCCGATGCTGGATGCACTAGGAGACAGAGCCAGCGCACAATGAAGCCTTTCTGCAGAAATTCACAGGATGAGCTGTTCCCACAACATGTCAGTAGGTGGCAAAAAGCTACAACCCTTGTGCTAAGCAAGAAGAAATAAATATTTTTCCCGCTCCTGCAAGAACAGGAGGTATCTGTGGGCAGCTCCATCCCATCGATGGAGATGGATCGTGTTCCCCCTGGGCCAGAGATCCCTGCACCAGTGCTGCTGGGAGGGAAGAGACATCCCAGAAAGGGCAACATCCCATATCAAGAGCAGGTAAAGAGGCTCAGAAGAGGAACAGGAGCTGCCTCCCTCTTAATTCATCAGGAGAGCCTTGTACCATCTCCTGATCTTGCTCAGGAATTGTTTAAAGCAAGCTGGAAACCACAAGGGTTTGATCGCTGTTTCCAGCATTGACCAGTTTAGGGCTGTGCTATCGCAACACAGTCTGAGGATACCTAGTTAGACAAACTAAAACGCACCACAGTTGATATTTTTCAAGCTGATGATAATACTTTAATCTTCCTGTACAGCCTGAAACGGAGCTGCTCAGGTCGATGTTCTTGGGCGCTTTTCTCTTGCGGCTTTGTGTAAGCAGATTGAAGCAATCCCAGTTGCCTGTCACACACCTTTCAGCGAGGCAGGGCAGATAAAGGGTTTAATAAGGTTAGTGGATACATCCCAGTGGCATTGATGGTGGGTATTTTTCTGGTTTTGAATGTGTGCACGTGTTGGGGAAGGGAGGATGCTGTATGATGCTGAAAACTTGCATTCCTGAGGAGGTCAAATACTCTGAGCACCAGGTGGGACAGAGCCCAGGAAGGTTAGAAAATCATATTGGTCCAGACTATTCAATGAGATCCAGTTACAGTGTGGCTTTGTTCAACTTTATTTACCTAACACCACTCTTTACTAAGTGTAAGTAAATAATTTTTCTGCTCGGGAACAATAACAAAGATATTACAGCAACCCTGGCTGCAAGGTCTCTGAAATACCTTCCTGCTTTTTTAAATACAGTGGTAAGGTTCATTGACATTTCTTCTTACAAGTTTTACGTTTAATTGCTAATAATTTTGCCAGACATTAACTGCTGGTGCTGACTTTCCCCAGTTCGTTTGTCTGCTTCAGGCTGAGCATTATAATTTTCTTTTAACATTTCAGCAAAACCGGTTCAGCTAAACCTGAGCTGGAGGAACTTGGGTTGCTCTGGCCACGTTGGTACCACCACTAAAAAATATCCTATAACCGTTTCACTGGGAACAGCAAATGTCCTTGTGCTTTGGGGCAGGGATCTATCTGACCGACATCTCCTCTTTCTTCAGGGCTGTGCCATTTGCCGCTACCCATAGCCACATCATTAACTGCATAAAATCTCCATCCTGTGTCATTTTGGTGAAAACTGATAATGTGAACTCTCTGAACGTGCTGAATCTGCACTGAGCAGCTTCTGCCTCAGCACAGCTTCTCTGTGGAGACACGTTTAACCTGCAGGATGGGTCCAGCCTTGCCTCAAAGCTGGGTGGGCGGTGTGAGATAGCCACAGAAACACCTTTTTAGCCAGCAGGTAACTCCCCATCCTAGGATAGACAGGGGGAAACATCATTCCCTGGAGATGTCTCTCACTCCTCCTCTCCTGCTCTCAGCTATAAACAGAGTAGGCGACTGTTTTATATCAGCTTCACAGCCCTTAGATAGCCAGAATTAGGTCAGGCAAATCCCGGTCTACTTCCCCGCTCTGAAATCTCCCCTCTTGGCTCTTCCTCCTCTGACTACGCATTGCTCCGCACCACCAGAATCAACCCCCAACACAGGTTTCCTCATCGTCATCCTTTAAAATTCATCCCACATCCATGCCTGCCAGCTGGGATGCAGGAACGGTCCAGCCTCTGCTCCCCAGGGAGGTCAAGGCAAGGGGCTCTGCTAAAACACTGGTTTCTGCCGTGCGGGATTCGGATTGAAGCTGTGTGTGCTCAGTTAGGGTGAGCAGCAAGTTTCATCTTCTCCATGGTTGGCCGTAACGACTCAGCCTTCAAATTATGAGTTAATATTGAGCATTTGGAATCGGGAGCTATTCAGAGAAAAACATCTTTGTAAAATCTTCCTTGCTGAGTTGCAGCATACGCGTTGTGGGTTTTTTCCATCTTCTGTAATTTGTAGAAAAGTCTAAGTTTCACCTTTAGTAATAGAGACAACATTTTCATTTCCAGCCTCTGGAAGGATGTTAGAAAACATGAGAAGAGGATGAGTTGCCATCTGCCTCTCTACAGGTTATGATGAATTAATACAATCAAGATCAGCACAGTCAAACAATTTTGAGCACCAAAAGTAGAAAGCAGGTTTGCTGGTTTTATCGCCTCCGTAAGAGCAAATTTTGCACAATGTAAATTGATAAATTAATGCTCAGAGTCTCTTCTCTGCACAGTCTGTGATATGGATTGACTGGTCCACATACACTTCTCCGTGGGCAGCACTCTTCCCCAATGCTGGCAACATGATTATTGGAAAACTAATCAGCTCCATCTGAGATAAATTGCATTTCCACCAATTATAGCTTAATTGTTGACAGATGGAAACACAGAAGGGAGATGTGTCACATCATTAAGAGAACAGGTGTATAGACAAGTGCCAGATTAATTGTTCCAGCCCATTAAATCATTGACCTTTTCAGCATACCCTCAACGTTGAATTCAAAGCTCTCACGATATTTCCAGCTCACACACGATGACCATGTTTATCAGCAAAGTTCTCAGGGGTGTTTTTAAAACGCACAGACTCCAGACACGAACTCATTAGCCATGAGCAGTTCTCCTTTCTCATTAAAATAATTTCTCTTCTTCCTCCTTGACTGTGTTGGGGTTTGTTCTCTTGGCTTTTCAGTGAAATCACGCATGGTGTGTGGGCTTTCTCCAAAGAGCAGTTTTCTTCATGAAGCATGTAGACATGCTGTAATGGGCTATACATTTAGGGATGTCAAAAAGAGAGAGAGGTGAAATCAGGACAGAGAAGCTCAGTGCTGGGCAGCTATGCTGGAGGCTCCACCTTTGAGTTGGGGCTTTGGCTGTGATTTCCAGCTCCTGCTCTGTCTGGGATTTTCAATAAAGCTTGAGAGAGACAAATAGCTAAGTACCATTGAAACTAAGTCAGCCATGGGTGTCTAATTCCCCTAAATATGTGTAAAAATGTGTCTCCTGCTCTTTTTCTGGCTATGTAATCCAGGAAGCTGAAGATGCAGCGCAGAAACATCCAAACCAGCTTTCTGGGAGGTAGCAGAGGTTTGAGACAGCGATGCAGGACATGCTTCATCTGTCCTGAACCACCCAAGCCCTGCGCTGTCCTGGATAATTGAGAACTGACTCCAGATATAGTTATTCTGGATGTCCTGACTTGAAAAATAAGAGGATAAGATTTCCAGCTGAAGGAAATGAAAGTCGCTCTGATGATACTCATATTTGTTACTCCTGGAGTCTCTGCCCTGTGGCAACGAGCTGACTTGAAGATGTTTTACCCCCTGGTAGTTTTAAAGAGACCAAGCGGAAAGCAACTGAGGGAGATAAGCAGGAGGTAAGAGGAAGAGTTAATGCCCTTTATCAGCTCTGCAACTTCAAACACAGGCAAAACTGATGCGGGGAATCAGGCAGGTCTTCTTGCCAGGGCTGGTGGTGGGCTCTATCCCTCCCTTGTGTAGCACCGGTCCCCTACATATCCAGTATGTCATGTTAAAATAGCTACATGATGTGTAACTGAAATTTTATTTTATATATGTGTTTAACTGACTGACTGTGTTCCACAAAGCTGATGCACCTGTACTGCAGTGGCCTTTACGGACCTACAAAACCAGATAGGAGACAGGAGAACTGGGTGACATTCCCTCAGATAACAAATGATTTTGTAAGGAAAAGCAGACAATTTTATGAAAAAAATACAGTTTAGGAGAGATGGAAACAGCAAGGCTCTCTGATAGACCTGGTACCCTTCATATAAGCATCTTTTTCAATATACTTGGAAATGTCAGGTTGCAACAGGGCAGCTTGTTCAAATTCTTGGTGGATGCAGCAGCCTTGACCAGCACCACTGCAATAAGTGTCTGCAGGACATACTGGAGATCCCTCAGCTTCCACCATTCCCTGTGCAGCACTGTACCCTGGACAGAGAAGGCAAGTGAATGAAAGGCAGCTTTTTCAGAAAATTTCCATAAAACTGGAGGTTAGTACTGAAGAACTTACACGTATTTCTGTGTCCGGGGCAGGGGAGGAGAGGAAATTCCCCAAAAACGTCAAAAAGGAATTTTAGATATGCCAGAACATTTATTTTAAATATTTCCTAAATGAATAATTTTATCTTGCATTTTTGAACTGGGTTTTTGTGGTTTATAAAAGGATATAAGGTTAAAAACAAGTTAAACAGAAAGGTTGAATAACCCAAAGGCAAGCAAAACATTTCATTTCAGCCAGAACTTTAGATTTGGGGTTAACCCAGAATATTTTCCAGCTTCTGCTTGGTTTTTTTGCCAGCCTCCTCCCTCCACCCCCACTTCATTGCTGTTCAGTCCAAGCCATTTTTTCCTCAGATATTTTGATTCAGCCGCAGAACCCAGACAGTCATTATTCACTCCACGTCAGTGATCTCCTCATTTCCAGCTGTCCTTTCCACCAGTCCGTCCTCCCAGAAATGCCATTTACTGCCAACATCATGTCTCCACCCTCAGTCCATCTATCCGGGGGGGTTTCAGCCCCACCAGAGCTCTGGCTTTTCTCTTCAGCACATCCCTCTCACCCCAAGCCGTGCCACTAGAAATCCCTGTCAAAGAAGTCATCGAAGAGAGAAACTCTCTCCGTCTTGGTTCTCACAAGCTTAGGTTTGCGGTAAATCTTCTCTTCCCTTTCCCACTCGTCGGAGCCTGTGCTGGAGGTGTCCCAGAACAAATCCCTCGTCCGCGGCTCCCTGCAGAACCACAGGTCAACCTTCCCGCTCCTGCCTGGAGACAGTTCAGCCCCATCGTGCTGTGTGGAGAGTCCTCCACCCCACGTGTTTCCTTGGGGGGAAAAAAAAATAAATCATAATTTTGCAGAGCTGCATGCCCATTTGCCTAGAGTTTAGCTGGAAATGGCTATTGGCAGCTGGAGACATGTAAAGACGACCCTGAGAGATCCCTTTAAGACCAGACCCCACGCTCAGGGCTGGGCAGGGTGAGGTATAATATATTCAGGGTTATATTTGGTGAAATGACGGAGTCTGGCAAGAGGCAATATGGTTTTATGCCCGAGCTGAGGTGAAGAAACACAAGGGAATAGGAGCAGCCAAGTCTGTTCTCCTTTCTCCTGGTGAAAGTTCACCGTCAGAGAAGTTTTTCACCCATTTAAGCATTTTTACCCTCGGTGATATGTTTCCAGCCTGTGCCGAAGGTTGTCGCATGCAAGCAAAGCAGAACGGAGCTCGTGCCTCGGGGACGTCAGTACGAAGTGGCGGCTGAGATTCGCTTCAATTTCCCCTTCGTTAGGGACCGTGAGGTCACCTTCTGTGCCCTGGCATCTCCATCCCCCCCCCAGCTGCTCCCCCAGCCTACATCAACCGGAGCAAATACAAAACACCGCAGGCCAGCCCTCCGGATTTACGCTACACCCATTCCTGCTGCTTGCCCATCCTCGAAGCGTGCGGGGGAATGGAAAGCCCCTGCTCGGCGGTTGTTGGCATCGCAGTCGTGCAGACTGTGCCGTGCTCCGTCCTGCGCTACGGCATGGGCTGCAGCAGGGAGACGGGCCCGGGAGAGGCTGAGATCTTGTCACCGTTAAATGAATTTCACCTGATGCGTTTTCACGTCAGACATTGAAAGTAACACGGAGCCACGGCTGGAAATTGTCTAACCGGGAACATCTCACCTTAATTACACATCACCCAGAGGGATGCAAATCTGCAAGGGAAATTGGCTGGCTTTGGGCAGTGGGAAGTGGTTTCCATATAAAACTAGTCCTAAAAAGTGAGTAACCTCAGTGACTGTAACATTTACCCCATGATCATTTAAGGATGGCAGGAGTCTAGAGGCCACCCCATACATATGAATGCAACATATTGGTGGACCATGCAACGATGAAGCCAGGAGCAAATCTCTGGCAGCTGTTGCTTAAGCAGCTCATTCTCCATTTCTTTCTCCTGCTGAGCCCGGTTCCAGCTTCCCAACGTGCCCAAGGGTGCTTTGCCAGGGAAGACTTACTGCAAGGTTCAACACCCCAAAATGTACGTGGGTACTCTCCGTCAGTCCTTCATGCATGTCAAGGGGGAGACACAAGGCTGACTCTTCTCCCAAAAAACAGTCTCACAAGGTCCCTGAAAATAACCACTGATCTCAAGTCGTCCAGCTTTCCCTTTTGTTGCAGGGGAACATCACACTTCCTTTCTCCAGAGCAGAAAAACTTGAGATGTAGCCAACCTGGGGCAGTAGAAGAGCTCTTCCGAAGCCCACCCTGCTTGACCCCAGCTGAAGATTTTGAGCTGGTTGGTTGCCCATGTGCCCTGGTATATTTTGCCGGTGAACCATGCGGTTGTGTAGCCACCGATGCCTGCAGCTACCCGCAGTTCAGCCCTCTGCCCCCTCCGGGAAGGGACCGGCTCCGTGCCTGCGTGGGGCAATCGCTGGGTTAGCGCGGGGCTGGGGGCTTGGCTTCGGCTGCCCACCTCAGAATGGATGCGTGTTGTGGCGGAGACTCTGCCACAGTAACTCGTGTCTTGTGCTTGAAGGAAAGCTGGCAGGGCACATTTTAATTGGTGCCTGCCAACCCTGCCAGAGTGACCACTGGGATGCTGTCACAGCCTACACCCACCCGAGCACAGCCCGGGCTCGGGCAGGAGGTGTTCCGTGCTAGGGCAGAGGCTGGGGGGCAAAACCTGGTGTAAAGGTTGATCTTCAGGCAGCTGGTTTCCATTTTTTTTTCTCCTTCACCCCTTTGGCTGTCATGTTGGTGGAGCTTCAGATGTTTCCCTTAGCCCGTGTATGTCCACCTATGCAGCAGTCGATACGGTCACCTCCTGGGACTCTTGTGCCTGATGGACGCCCTGACCCTCCAAGGATGTGGGACCCTGGGGACATCCTCAGTCCTCACGTGGGACAAGCTGAGACTCTCCCACCAGTGGGAACCTGCTCATGGAGGGGCCTGGCCCTGAGGACTTTGGTTTTATGCCCCTATGGCTAGTCCATGGCTCTTAATTCACATCCACTCAGGTCTGTTTGGATGCTATCAGAGAAGCAACCCAGAGACCCGCGTCCTGCTCTGAGGCATCCCAATGCTTTGCATTGCGACCACATCTCACTGCTTTCCCCCCCTCCGTCTTTTGAACTTGCATCGTGTCACAGCAGGAGATGGAGCAGTGGAAGCAGCTTCCATAGGGAAACTTCTCTGATGACATTTAAGAGGCTGGCGAGTTTTACATCTCCTTGGAAAATTATTCTACTTACCATGGTCGTCTCCATGAAAATGCTGATTGTGCTCCACAGGGACGAGGTCTTGGCTTTCAGCGCTGTCACCTCTCTGGAGAGTGTCAAGGACTTTCTTTGGGCTGAATTCCTTGATTTTTTCTTTATTGATTTTTGCCTCCCTGTGGAGATTTCGCTTCAGCTCTGCCTGGGTTTGCAAACGAGTCGTCAACAGAAGCAGCAGAGGAGAGAACACGTTTTAACAGCTCGACGCGGCATATCATTAGGGGGTTGGCGCTGAAAATAATTACACAGTCGAGTAGTTTAACCCGGGCAAACGGTATTTGCCAAACTGGGTACATGACAGAACATGACCCGGACAGAGAGTTTTGGTTTCTTCGTGAGCCACAGCCAAATGAGGGCAAAGCATTGGAAAAATCAGAAGTAATTACTGATCACAGGGGCCCCGGGGATGCCCCCCACCTCTCCTCTGCCTGAGCCACTGGGAAAGCTCCATTTGACCTACCAAGCAACAGGCTTTAAGCCTCCTGGTCCCTGGGAGAAACACCAGGGATGGGCAAACCCCTGTCCGAGAGGGGAATCCCCAGCCTATCCCCAAATCTGTCTCAGCGTTACCTCTCGGCGCCTGCGGGTCAAGTCCAGCATCTGCAGCTTGTGCAAGTGCTGCCGCCTGCCCGGGAGGTGTCTCAGGCTTTGCCCCCTCTTCTCCAGAGCCTACAAGGTATTTAAAAATGTAAATAAATACACCTGCGCTTTCTGAAAGAGAAAGGAACAGCCACCAGCTCGCAAACCCACACCTGGCCCCTCGGGTGCTCCCCAGATAAAAGCAGCGAGTTTTTCCCTGCATAGCCAACTTGCAGCAATTTATCACAGGTTTTCAATGCGTTTGCAGTTTATTTCACAGCTCTGGGGCATGACGGAAAAAAATCTTCATTAAAACAATGTATACATGTTTCTGGCCCTCGAGGTGTTACCGCTTTGAGTCGGCTGTCCAAGATAATCTCATGATCCAAAGGGGTTGCAGGGGATGTTTACGGCACACGGCACTCGCAGCCTTCTCCCTGCCGACTGCAAGCGATGGGTGTTCAAGTTGCACAGCCATTTAAAAAAGCAGTCCTCAAACCTTTGGCCTCAAATATATTTAAGGTCCTGGCTTAGCAGGTCTGCCTCGTCCAGGGAACTCTCATGCTGGAGATTCAGAAACCTTCCCCTTATTTTCTATCCTTTCACCCACACACTGGTGTTTCAGCCAGTTTCTGGGCTCAGCCAGGGACAGGAGCGCAGCTGGTGTAAAACACCAACTTCTGCTCTTCGGGGTGCCTGAACCATGAGAGCCTGCAGCCAGCAATGACCCATGCCCAGAGCTCAACCCATGCCCTTACCTTCATTTTGGGGGTTGCAACCACATCTTGCTGACTCCAGGGCTTTGCAGGAGTGATTGCTTGCGGAGGGCCAGCAGGTTCAAGCCTCTACAAGTCCAATATTTATAATATTCAGCATTGCTTGTTCCACACAATCATAAAAGCTGATATGAAACTGCCTTGACATTTTTCCAGCTCCAATTCTGGCCCAGCTGCTTGGGATACAGGCAGGAGATTGGCATCTCTAGCAGATGCACAGGGAGATGAACATCCCCTTAGGTGCTTCAGGAATGGACAAAACTGGGGGAATCTCCTGCATTAGAGTCAAAGCAGCAAAAAACCCAGTTTGACATTAGTTTCATCCCTGTAGGTATTTCTCTTTGAGACTCAACAGTGCCCAAAGCTCCAACCAAGACCAGAGTGAAGACAACCCCCAGCCCAGATGATTGCTTCATGTTGAAGCTGAAGCATGGAGAGGTATCGTAATTTAATGTAATGTCTCCTAGTAGGTCATCCAAGGGCAGATCCCAGATACCTGAGACCCAGAGCACCATTCCCTCTGTCCAACCAGTCTCTTTCTTTTATGTTGGCCTGAGTTCAACCTTTCTCTGCAGGACTGCATGGGGTACAAAGTGCCTTTCCTGGTGGCTGATGGAAGTGGGCAGAGACTTGCTTTACAGACTGCTCTGAGCATGGGTTTTTATCTTAAGGAGCTCTGTTGCCTCCTTAAATCATGCCAAAGTACTAGATGATACAGGGTCATGTCATGGCTTGATAATGCTAGTGTCCCCTTCAAGATGGGAGCTCCATACAGCTTCCATAAAAATTAAGGGGAGCATCATCAAGGACGTCACCAGTAAGACCTGGTTTACTCTTTACGTGGGACATCATTAACTCCTTGAATATGAACTAGTGTCGAATAAATGGCGATATGTCTCTGACTGTCTGCTGCCAAAGCCTGACTGTACTTTTGAAGCATCCTGTAAATCAACGCAAAAACACAGGAGAAAAAAAGTCAGCAGCACCACGTAAAGGGGGAATTCCCCATCAGCCCCCAACACCAAGTTCACTTGTCTCTTGGCATCAAAAAAAACCCCCACAAAACTGAAGATGAAGCTTAAAAAATGGCACTAGATGGCAGCATGTGACACCACAAACTGCGGTCTGGGTTGTGCATCACTCCCAGATGCCACCGAGGCAGCCAGCGTGGGGTGGCTGAAGGCAAATAAACTCCTGCATCAATCGGCTCATCTCGCTGGGCACAGCGGGGAAGCCAAGTTTCAGGCTTTCAGCTAAAGTTGTGTTGCAGGCTGGAAAAATGACTCTTTAATTTCGTCTCTGTGAACCTCACAGGATTTTTTCTCTGGAAATATTCTCTGACCGAAATCCTCTAAAAGTCCTTGAGAAGGCCACGTCATCCTGCTCCGCTGTCTTTGAAAATATTCCTGCAGGGAAAAGGGCTTTTGCTGGTGCAGTTTACACTCCCTAACAGCCATGGCAGAAGCACAGGGTAGGATTAACAGTGTCATTGTCCTGCAATGAGTATTATCAGTGTTTTAATAATACATAAATACAGCCGTAATGGAAATAAGATCAATGACTAAAAATTACACGCTGGTAGGAGATTTTTAAATGAGGCTGTAATTCCATGTGACAATTCACACGATGTAGCTGGGCTTATTCCAGGTGCTGCTGCCTCATCCTCCCACCAAATCCAGGGTCACGTTCTTCAATAGTTGGTGGCTGCCTGTGCTCTCTGAAGCCACCAGTCTCGGCCAGAGCCACAGCCCGGCATGGAGGGGGTTTAACTGACCCTGTCTGATGCCTTTTCTGTTCTTTATTACATTAAAAAGACCTTAATCACAGCAAGGAAGGCTTGAGGAAAGCAGTCCTGCTTCAGTGGGTTTGCTGTTGTGGGACACGTGCAGAGCGTTTGTCACTAAATTTTTGGGAAAGTGGAGATGGTCTCAGGGAGGAACAGGGGAGTCTCAAAGCAGTGCAGAGGGATGAGATGTTCACCCAAGAATTTTAATGGCAAGGGGTTATATGGGTGCCCGGGAAGGAAGATGACCAGCGCAGGCAGCTGAGGGGTGACTCGGTGCTGGCGTAACCCAGGGCAGCCCCAGGGCTACTCCAAGCTGCACCCAGTGCTGGGATGACCCAGGATTACTGGATAGGAGCACTACAGAGAAGCACATGGCCAGTCCAGGCAAATACTTCACTTTCATGGGTTAAACAGCCAAGAAATGTGTTTGCCTCTGTTTATCGCCAACCACCCGCTGCTGAGGACTCTCTCCAGCCATCTAATTAGGCTGCTGATGTGCCCAGTGCAGCTGGGTTTTCTCTTAGAGGGGTCTCAGCAGCAGGTACAACATTGATCCTTAATTGCTAATTGAAAGTCCTACCTAAATGAGAGCATGGGGGAGGGAGGGGGATTATTTCCAGCAGCTGAGCACTTCCCCAAGAAGAACACCCTGCTGCACCTGTGCTTGGAGGGGTCTGGTCAAGTTGTCCCCTTTCCCTGCCTGTTTTTATTCCTCTGAGCCCTGTTTGCTCTCAGTTTTGGAGTCCCCAGACCTGACCCAAGCAGCAGAGAAGAAATGCACCCAAAAGTCTCAAGCAAGGGCTCTGAAAGAGAAAGATCTGAGGAGCAAAGTGGGGCAGCTGCAGCTCTGGGGCATCCAGAGCTGAGCTAAGCCTGGTGACCCCGATGTCCGTCCCCAACCCTCTGTGGGCACGCAGGGAAGGAGGGAGAACTCAATCTCAGCCAAACACCAGCAGCTTTGCATCCTCCGTGGTGAGCAGGTAAGAGATGGGAAGTTGGAAGTATTGCTGGCTGGTTTGGGAGGGTGTGGAGAAGCAATGAAAATTCAGGTGGAGCAGAGGAAGCAGCATGCTGCTCCTGGTTGGGGTTTTAAATAACCTGATTTATGGCAAGAGTTGTACAGCCTTGGCAATGCAGCTCCGGCTTAGGCCTGTGAGCACATGATGGGGGCTCTCCAAGGCCTGACCCTCACCAGGTTTTTTATTGTATGAAAGCATCAGTGCAGAAAACTATCAGCACAGAAAATGCATGTGGAGGGCTTCTTGTAACTTTTTTTTTTTTTTTTTAAATGAAATAGTAACTCTAACCCTTGTGCAGCATGGTACACTAGTGCTGTTTCCTTTCCTTCTGTGCAGTAAATTATATGGATGTAAATATAGTTTTTTGAGCTTTACTTGCGTTGTGATAACTCGTGTGGGGAAAAACCTGATTGCCAGGTCAGGCAGAGTCATGGGTTTCAGGGCTTGGAGGGGAAGAGATCTGGGAAGTGCAGGAAGGGGAAAGGAAGGAGGCTGAGGAGGAGTGAACAAGGGTGGTTTATGTTTGTTTGGGGAGGATTTTTTTTTTTAATATCTAGAGATATAGATGTGCGTGTGTGTGCACATGTATATACAGAGCTATTGAGGGGAGAAGGTGAAGGTACACAGCACGCATAGCATTTCTCGCAACCTAAAATAATTGGTCTGTGCTTTCACTGGCCCCTATTGCAAAGCACGTCTGCCTGCTTTACCTGCCTCTCTGCCCCTAAGCTGATGCCAGACCTTGATGAGATACTTGACCTGAAGAGCCAAAACCAGTCCCACGTGACGCAAGTTGCATCCCTTCTGCAAAGGGCTCTGTCTTGGCCACATCAGCCCCACGGGAGCACTAAGATTTGGCTGCAGGTACCCAGACACCACTAAGGAAAGTGGGTCATTACAGGAGAGGTGGCCTCAGGGCCAGCGCTGGGACGTGTGTCCTCGTTGGATGTCTCCATAGCACATGAGGGCTGGCCAGTGAGGCACGGGCCCATGGAGACAGGCAAGAGGGCAAAAGCAGGGCTTTGCTGCATTGGCCCCTCTTTGGCTGTTCTTAAAAGATTAAGTCCTCTCCTTTGTGTCAATGAACCAAAAATAACCTCTCTGCAGTCAACGTACCTGCTCTACCCCAGGTATCAAACCTGGGCTGGTGATAAAGCTCATCTAGGGATGATCTTCTAGAAATAGGACCTCCTACTTGCATTGCTGTAGGTTATTTGTTTCCCCCACCGCGGCGCTGTGACATGTGCCCGTGTCCCCAAGAAAGCCCACGTCAACGGGTCAATCAGAGCAACTCATAGGGAGCTTTTCAAACTCGTCTTACTTGAGGTCGTCGAGGCGGGTGCTGTTTAATGATGCTGGTTTCTCCCTTTTCCAGCACGGTGTTGAAAGAGAGGGGCCCTTAAAGATTAGAGAAGAAATGGATGAAGTTAGTTTTGGGTGATCATCAACTGCTAGGCTGTACTCAGCAATAGTTTTCTGCCATATTTTTTTGGTTGGCATGTCCTCCTAATGTCTCTCTTGGTGTACCACCGTAACACATGGTATAAATTATTCTATTAGCTGCAGAAATGAAGTGAGGATGTACCTGTGGTTTTGAACAACTGTGTCTGCTGCATACCTCTCCTACCTCCCTCTACAACCCCCCATCCATCCTATATGTGACAATAGCCATCCTCCATGTCTCCTGTGGAGTCTCTGGGTCCCCCCTGTGTGACCAAGGGTCCTCTTCTCCTCCCATGGCCGGTGACCATCAGCTGGCCAAGAAACCTGTGACCTTTGCTGCTTCCTCGCTGCCTGCCCTTTTAAAGTGGGGAGCAGGCAGCAGTTTGGGTCTTTTCTCGCTGCTCAGTCCCTGAGACTTTATTATTGTTATTTTTTGGTGGAACTGACAAATAGCTCTGATGCTTTTACTGACCTCGGCAGAGCTGGGCTACAGCCAGCCAATGGGTTCAGAAGTCAGTGTGTTACGGTCCGATAAGCTGTACGATCACAGACCCTCATCTTTGGAAATCGGCCTGAAATAACGTGCTACGCACTAGCGGTCCCCTGTTAGTTATTAAAGCTGTGCTTTCGCCGAGGCCTCAACGTGATCTGAGCTCGGGTCCGTTCTGCGCTGGTGCTCTCGGGTGGACACTGCTGCCTTTTGCACAAATAAATACCCATATGTGCAGTACGTATTTCTTTTGAAAAACAGTTTCTCTATCCCACCTGTTCTCCCCAAAAAACTGTCTTGGGGCATTCAAATGCCATTTTATATATGGAGTTGAGCGAGGCGTTGCTGAGCAGCTCCTGCTCCCACGTGGTGGGAGCCCCGAGGTGGCCGCGGGAGAGGAGAGTTGGGGATAAAGTGCAGGAGCTACATTATAGTTGATGCCAAATTTAATAGTTATATTAAAAAGAGGAATAATAATTTGGAGGTCACCTTATGGGAGACTTCAGTGGTCCCTTTAAATGAGCCCCATGGAAGATTGCCAAGGCAGGGCTCTTCTCCAAGAGGGAGAGAAGGTGATGGAGGGAGGGTGGGTGCTGGGGTTTGGGAGGAGACGGTGACTCCATCGGATAAATGATTGCTGGGCTTTGCTGAGCACTGGCAATGATTAACTGCTGAGCGAAACTGCAGCTGCTCTGCACATGCAGGAATGGGCGCCTGGAGTGAAAATTTCCAGCGCGGGAGGTTCCTCCGGAGACAGACTTCTGCTGCCGGGGAACACAGGCTGAAATAGCAACTTGTAATAGCAAAAGGGAGGTTATTAAGTTATTGCCTCTCAATCTGCAGGATGAATTAGCGCATAAAGAATTTCGAAGGGTGAAGTAAAATGTAAGGAGGTGGCTCACGGTGCTGGGAATGTGGGACCTGGCACAGGCAAGGGCTGGGGCTTGGACTTAGGAGAAGCTTTTTCTGGCAAGGTGTATGGCTTTGGGGAAGTTATTTCTCCCTTATGAGTTGGTTTTTGTTTTGTTCTGTTTTTTTTAATATATTTAAATTATTCCCTCTCATCCTATCCATTCATGTGTCCTGTAGGAGGTTTGCCCTTATCCTCTACAGATAGAGAACTGGGAGCCGAGTGCTCGCTGGCCCCAAACCTGCTCGGTCCTGGGGCAGGAGCGGTCCCTGGCACACCGGCGTGATGCTGGCGGGGAGGGACCATCGTCCCACCACACAGCCATCACCGACGGAGCACGGGCTCAAGCCGAAGTCGTTCTCGTGACTTTTATTTTTCACCCTTGCACTTTAGTAGCAGCAGATCCTCCCCACTGGAGGAAGCGGGATTTAACACGAGCCAAGATGAACCCTCATAAACCAAATAAAACCTATTCTCTTGGAGGCTTTGCTTATTTAGACAGCAGCTCAAGTTAATACGTCGCTCAAGTACTCTTGAGCATACTCTTTTTATTTCGGAAAATGAAAAGTAATGGAAAATGACATTTATTAAGGGGGTTTTTAAAGTCTTTTATAAAAGCACACATTTCTTAGAAGCACTTGTTAAATGCCCAGTGATGATAATTTTCCAGAACAGGAATATTTGGTTGTTCTTGCTGTCACTAAGTACTTGAAATCCCCTGTTGTACAGCCAAACCTGATCTGTATTCTCCCCAAGACCTCCAGCTCTGGGAACATCACTGCTATCGTGCCAGAGGTTTATTTGCTTTCACTGTTTCCTGATGCCTCTCAGTGGATGATCCTAAAGGAAATATCCAGCCCCCGGCGAAGCAGCGGTGCTTAACGCTGCTCGGCGTGTGCCAGAAATTCATTTTTGGAAATGGAAGAGGGGAGAAGGGTGCTAGGGCTGCAGAACCTCCTTTCTCAAACCATGTTGGTGTTCACGGGGATTTCCCCCAACGCTCACCTGCCGTGGCTGTGGGAAGCCGTTTGTCACCATCCAGCTTTTTGTAGAGCTACACATCCACTTTCAGACGGGTGCAAACATCCTTCCTTGCCTCCGGGAAGGGTTTGGGTATGGATGGAGTTTAATCCCCGCTGTGAAAGGCTGTAGGAGAGGCTGCACGGTGCCACTTGTAGAAAAACATAGCTACTCTATTTGCCTTCCTCTGCCTCTCGGCTTATGAAATTAGCCCTGTGCGAGACGTGGCTATAATTTATTTTAATGCTGAGTTTTACCTGCTGAGCACGTTACCCAAAATCTAATGCTAATTTAGCTAATGATATTGATATGCCCAGTGGTGGCAGGTGAGCAGAATGGGTGTATAACTGGGAATTATGGGGCTGCTGGATGAGGGCTTGCTGGGACACAGGCTGGTGTCATCGCCTGCCAGGTCGATGTTGGGGAGCGGGGCTGTTCCCAGGGGGATGACTGATGGGAGGAAGGAGCCTGGGATCTGGCTCTGGTGACCAACACGCTTTCCAAAACGGGCTGGGGGCAGGAAATGAGTTTTCCCAAAGCTAAAATGTCCTGGAAATGGCAAAAAGCTATTGATATGGAATGGCACACACCTACACCCACCCCACGCTGCAGCAACCAAACCTGCGGCCCCAGCTGTTGCCCTGTGGGTCTCTGCCCTGCGCTTAGAAATAATTTGTTAATGACCCCCTTACCTGCAGAGGCTCTCCCATACCAGGTCTCCCGGAGAGGTGGAAGCTCCCCATAAAACATGGATTTTCCCCATTCTGCTGCGGCTGGTGGATGCACGCCGGGGAGCTGGTACGGGGTGGTGAGAGCAGGCAGGTCCTCCCTGGCACGCATCGGTGCCACCTTGGTCACTTTGGGGTGAGTTTTGGAAGAGCTCAGACCCATTTTGCAGAGCGGTGGCTTTGAAAGGAGAAGGAAAACCCCTCGTGCACCATCCTCCCTGAACACGGAGGGACCTTTGCAAGCGACGGCAGTTCCCAAGGAGCTCCCCGCCAGCCGCCGAGGCCGGGGCTGGCTCCCACCGACGTTCCCATGCTTCCTTCCCTGCTCGGTTAAACATTGACCCGGCCCTGGCCATTCCTCTGCAGGGACAAGAGGTGGCTGCTGCTGACGGAGAAGTGGAAAGCAGCTTGGGGAGCCAGCGCCAAACCCCAGGGAAGCTTTGTTTTTTACCTACAAGTGACTTTTCAAGCAGGAGCACCACCTCAGCTGGCCGTTGGCTGATATGGAGGGATTTCTACAAGCAGGTCTTTTGCTAAATCTTCAGTTTTTGGAAGGAAATTCAATCCTCGGAGCACCAGAAGGGTTAAAGTGTCTCCCACCCTGCCTGGGAGAAGCAGCCTGGGGACAGGGGCTGGCCGAGGAGCATCCTCTGCCCTTGCTCCTGCCGGCTGGGGGAAAAATGCAGCTTTAGCACAAAACCACCTGAAAACATCAGCCAAAGTGAGTAGATTCTGCAGTTTTGGAGGTGCTGCAGGATTTGGGCCAAATGCAGCAGGATCTGTACTTTTCCATCCGTTCCCAAGGTGTATGAGGGGGTTCAGAGGGCACGGTTTCCTCGGAGCTGTCGAGAGCCATTCATTTCCAAGGTGGAGCAGTTGAAAAATATGTAGGGAGGATTATTTACACAACAAGATTAATTTTGCAGGGTGGGTTTTGTGGCAGGAATAGGGTTGCGGGAGGTGGTCAGAGCACCTGCGGGCTCCGCTGCGAAACACGTGGAAACCAGCAAACACCAAGAGTGTGAGGGAGAGCCCAAGACGGTGTCAGAACCGGGGTTCATTTAGTGGAAGCTTATCCCACTGGGATTCCTGGAGTGATCCTGTAGAGGTTTGGAGTGATTGGAGCCTCTCTGGGCTTTTCTCCTGGGAGAAGAGGGTTGCAGAGGGGAGCGAGGGTTATGGCAGAGCCAAGTGTCTGGCACTTAAGGCTAGTAGGTCCATGGATGAACCTCTCAACTCCTCCTTGATGGAAACAGGGAGGTTTTGAGCTGTGAAGTGCCACTGGCCATGGGTGGCACCTCCCAGAAGAAATTATTCATCCCTGGAGCAACCCAACCAGTCCATGTTTTCAGCCACAAAGCACCAACAGCATTCGTGACTTTGCTTTACAACAGGTCACGCAGGGCATGAGGGAGCCGAGTAGCTTAGTCTGCATTGTTTTTTCCTTTTTCTTTTAAAATGAAAACATAGAAACAACACCCTGCTTCTCTCCTGAGTTTCTCAATGCTTAATGTCTATTTTTGCCTTTTTTTTTTTTTTTTCCTCTTCCACCTACCCTGCTGAGAACAAGGTCATTCCTGTTAAGCAGCTTGGGAAAACTTTGAATTAAATGCAATGATGGATGTGTTGGAGCAGTGGAAAACCCACGTGGATGTTAAAGCTAGTGCTGTCGTGCTGTATCTGGGTGTTTCACCTGGGTGCCTTTACTTTGTAAAGCAAAGAGGGCCAAGAGCAGCAGCTGTGGCTTTGGGGTGGAGGGAGGAAGGCAGGCTGCAAAAAGATGCCCTTCTGGCAGGTCACTGGGGCAAACTGAGAACAAGTTTGAGGTTGAACTGGGTTCCAGAAGGGCCTAATGGTCCTGGGAGAGGCTCCCAAATATTACCACTTGCCACTGCTGTGCCAAAATTACCCCTTCACCCGGGCACCCTAGACTGTGGCTCTGCAGGGTGTTGTGTGGATGCTGGGGGGTTTGCTGGGTGAGCTGTGCACGTGCAGCAGCGGAGATCGTGGTTATCGGCATCGTTTTGACCTGCTCAGCTCGAGACTGAGCGGTGACAGCCCCTGCTATGGCACGAGTAACCTTGTGTTAACCCCCTCGCTTAAACCTGCCTTTAACACCAGCTGATGGCGTTTGAAGTGGGGAAGGATGGGTTGAGGTACGCCTGAGCTTCAGGCTGGCTTCATTGCTGCCCTCCTGGTGACGTGAAGCTCATCTTTTTCTTTAACTGACAGGTTATTTAATGCAGCCTTTTACCTGTATTTAAGGTTCAGTTTGACTCCCAAGTGCTGTGCTATAGAAACGTGGGGCTGGAAGGAGCTTTGGTCCCATACATTGCCATTCGGGTCAGCACATGGTCCCTCCCAGGAGAGTTGGAAGCTCTCCACACCTTTCTGCCATTTCATTTATTGCCTGAAACCCTCCACCAAATTCAGCTGGAACCTATAATTGATACTGATCTTGCCAGAATTGGATGGTCCAGCAAATTTATTGTAGTCAAAATGAAATCATTGACCCCTAAGTGCTCTGATGCCCTTGTTGTAAGGAAGAAACAGGGAAAAGCTCAAGGGTAGGGCAGTGCCATGACTCAGGGCAGAGCATTTTCCCACCGAGGAGCGGAGTTTGTTACTCATCCACGCATGGAGCAAAGGTGAACCACAGGGAGGATTCAGCACAGGGCACCCATCTGATGTCCAGCCACAACAGAAGATTGCCTCTGCCTTGAAACTTCTCCTTGAAAATGAGTTTTAAATTACCGTCACAGCTGCACGTGCTGTGTGTTGCTTTCCGCAGTGCACACCTTGTGCCAAACCACGGGGAAAGCAGCCACTTGTCAGAGCGTCGTGGTTTGTCACGGAGATTGGGGTGAGGGGAAGCGTAACGTCCAAAACCCTGGTCAAAAAATCCCCAAATGCCGAGATGTACTGGTGCAAGTGTGCATGGTGGGGTAAGCATTTCCTATTCCCTTTGTGTTTACCTTCCAAGAGAGCAAATGGAAGAGATGGGTCATGACAACCCAATGTGTTGCAGATACTGATGCACGTTTTGCCCTTGAATCCCAGGAAACATGGGCACAGGAGGAGATGGAAAGTGGGCAGCATGGATTTTTGCCAAAATAATGCCTGGACTTTATGCAAATCTCTGGTGAGTAAAGCAGAAGGAACCGTCACGATGTGAATAGGCTTGTCATTTGTTATGCTTGCAGCGCATTTAGCTAGCGATAGTGCAAACAAATGGAGCAGCAAAGAGAGGAAAATAATCCAGCACTGTTTCACCGGCTGGGATACACACCGGTGCGGCTATAGATCCTGTTATTACACATCTGTGAAGTTAAGAAATGCGGCTTGTTCCTCCCTCTGCTGCTTGTTGCTTGTATTAACAGGGGATGTTCATCTTATCCTAGGCAAGGCTGAGGATATCGGTGGTGCTGAGATAACGTCCACGGTGCCTGGTCGCTGAGCCCTGTGGAGGCGGCGATGCTTGAGGCGAGTTATTCGCAGCACGTTTTGTTTTTCTGCCAGAAACCTGGGCGTGAAGGAGAATCTGATAACGCAGCTGCCAGATCAAAACTGGCATTTTCCTTAGGGTGCAAACGAGACGGTGCAACTGATATGAAACACTCCCGTTGCTGGAGATGGCAGAAGGGCTTGTCAGAGACACCCACGGTGGCAGAAGTAACCACATCTGATCAGTCACTTGATTATTGGTCTGCATTCCTCTGATGGATCACCAACACCATCGTGCAAAATAGCCTCCATTTATTGTCTGATTTCTTGGGTTTAATGGGTTTTCTCTGGCTGAAAGGCTGGGCTTAATAAGGAAGATAGATAAACTGCAGGTTGGGCAGTGGGTGAACGAGGGGGCCGTAAGGAATTGCTGAGTGGGATGAGCACCCCTGGAAATGGGCACAACAGCAACCAAGGGATTAGGTACCTGCTCGCCTTGTGGCTACAGCGGTGGATGTTGCCCAGAGCTAATGGTGGGGGAAAGGATTCAGGAGCAAATCCCTCCTGCCCATCCACAGCAAAGCGGTGGCAGAGAGAGGAGAAAGCCTTCTGCAGCCCCGGTTCAACCCTCGGTGCTGTTCGCTGTACAGGGAGCATCGGGGGGGGATGCTCGCTCTTAGCAGAAAGCTTGGGTTGGGTTAGATGACGTCTGTTAAGCTTGATGTGAAGCGGAAGGTGGCTGCTGGGCTCAGAGCTTACACGTCTTTTCTCCTTGTAAGAAATTCAAGGGTGATCGCTGGTCCCTGGGGATGAGATGTGCACAGGGGGCTGCTCGTAGAGAGTGACAGGCTGGCACAGTAACACGCTGTGCCCCTGGCCATGAAACATCTCAAGAGGGGGAAAACTGACTCAAACATGGGGATTTCATGTGATTTTCCCTGCTGAATGCTCAATGAGGTTCCTTGAAGGATCCAGTCCTGGGCCTGAAGATGCTGCCATGAGGCTGCTTGCCAAAATGTACTCATTGATGCGTACTAAAAGGAACTGTTTGTTTTTCCCATGTGTTCAGTTTGGCAGGAGCTAAAATTTCACTAAAACTCATCTCTAAAACTATCTAGTAATGTAAATGAATATATCAACCTCAAAATCGACTTGGGGTGGTGCCCAAGCTGCCATATGCTATTTGCTCTCAGCCATATCATCCCATCAGTGTCTCTTGTTCAATATAATTCACTTTTTTAGAATATTTTTAATGTCTAGCTCCTTTTGAAAGCAGCAGATGAGGAGCTGAGCCCCTCTTGTCAAATAGAAGAGAATTTCAAAAGATCGTGTGTGTGTACCCAACCCTTACAGCTCTGGGTTTAGTGCAAAGGGGATGGTTGTTTGGGTTGGTTTCTACAGCCCTAATTCTGCAGCTGTGTGATGGAAGTGCCCAATTTTGTTTGGTTTTTTTTTTTAATATACACAAGTATTTTCTTAGCTTTGCTGGTTACAGGGAACGGTTTAGACAGGAACGTTAAAAGCTAAAAGACATCGAATAGAAGAGAATCAAATAAAAAGGTGCTTTTGTTATTATTTACATGAATTGCTTTGTTTACAGCAGTAGTAAGCCCTAACAGCCACGGGGACATGCTGGCTGCCCGCCCCCCTCCAGCCCACCCAAACCGTGGGGCTCCCACGGCCCCCCCATGCATCAGTGCAGTACGAGGGGTTCGTTAG